AAATTTTATAATATAAGAAACAACCCCCAAGGGTGGAAAATTGGGGATGAACTTTTTTATACGCAATATCTCCGCCGATTATAAATCAATTTGAACGATTATTTTTTTGTTGTATTATCAAAAGGGTGGTTTCATGCGAATTTGAAGAAAATATTTCACCCTCAAGGGTGGAAAATTGGGGATGAAATTTTTTATACGCAATATTTTTAATTTTTAGTCTTTTTTGTGTTCACGCATTTGAAGTCGGTTTTATTTTTTAAAAAAGTTAATTATTGCTTTATGCTGTCGACTTCCCAAGTACCAGCAGAAATTATGCGTTAATGGAGTACTCGTAAGGTTTAAGAGCTTACCGATGTATTTGTCTTTGTTTTTCTTCGCCTTTTTCCTCTCCTCGCGAAGTTTCTCGTCGTCCTGTATGAAGTCGATGAGCTCTCGCACTTTGTGCCTCACGTTTATACCCTGAGAAACAAAAATTATAGTTTGCCCTCAAATTTACTATGAATAAGGCCCAGAACAGACGGTGAAACGCAACTGCAACGAAACTGCAACTGCTAGTTACTTTTGAGTTGCATCTAAGTTTCTGCCATAGCGTCCGTTGAGAGACCACACATGACGCGACCAGTTTGAAAGATTCAGTTTCATTCATCAGAATCATCAGAAAGTTGCAGTTTCGTTGCAGTTACGTTTCACCGTCTGTTCTGGGCCTAACGCATCTGAAATGGACTCAATCGGATCGAATCGAAAGTTCGTTATCCCCCGGGGTATTATTGGAGACAGGCGCTGGACATGCCCACAACCTTATTATGACGTCACACTTTTATGCTCTATCTATTATGGTTCAGCAATAACAATCTTATACGAGTGAATGATCCGGAAGGAGAAACTGTATTAGCCAGAATCTACAGTTTCTCCTTCTGTAGAAGTAGAAGAGTTGTAAAAAGGAGGGATTAGTCCCGTTCATGTTTAAGGCCGATTCACACATATCAGTGAAGTCACAGTTCAGTTTCAGTACCGGCACAGTGCGAAATATTCTTTCATACAGTTTCTATGACCGCATCCCCACTTGTCAGTGTCAGTGACGACACAGTGCTCTCAGTGTCAGTGCCGACACCGGCAATCACGGACCTATTCATTGACGACGATATTTTTTGTCGGATCATGGATGCCGCCGCGGCATCAAAAACAAAATAACTTACTTCATAGTTTCTGAATAAGAATATTGAAACAGCTCTCTGACATTTTAAAATATTCAAAATATTTAACTGACGCAACACTGTAGCACTGATACTAACTGAGCGGACACTGTGACGGAACTGTGGCTCACTGATATGTGTGTCGAGAATCGAGCTTTAGGGAGTGCCTCCGCTGCCGGCGCCGGTCGCTGTTTCGGCAGCCGGCACCGGTCACTGAATCGGCAGCCGGCGCCGGTCGCTCATTATGTTTATCATACCCGATCCTTTAAAATTTAAGATGACTAACGGCCGAATACTGAAACGCCATTTAAATATTTGACGGCTTCTCAAATAGTTAAGCAGCTCCTAAACATGCCTATTTCTGAGGATTAAGGGGACATCGCATAGCAGCATTTCCAAGAGTTGTTGATTTGTCAATTTGATGCTCTGTCAGTCAACAATGATAAATGTCAATTGTGGTTACGTTTCGGTCCACGATCGCCACTTAATAGATTTCAACAATAAAAAGTATCATATTTAAAATTATTTTTTTAATTAAATAAAAATGCAAGCATTATTATTTTTATATGATAAAACGAGATTTATATATAATAGAAACTAAAAATAAACTGTTCTATGTTAAGTTGATTGAGTATATTTCCATAAAAGACAATACATAACCAAACGATGCTGCGTGTAATGGATAAAAGACGTAAAGTTATCATTTGTGTAAATGAAAACATACTTTTTTTGGTAAATGTTGCCATTATGTAAACATTTGAGAGCTGCTTAGCTGATCACGGCTTCAAATCCGTTGAGTAGCGTTTGAGAATACCATTTAAAATTGAAGGATACTTAAATTTAGGAGCCCGTCAGCTGAGTGACAGATTTGTGTAGTGTTTCAGTATTCGGCCGTTACTCTTTTGTATTTACTCTGGTTGAGACCCGTGTTTCTAATTTTAATTCTAATGTAACGCGTAGGCTTCAAATCTTATACCTGATCCTTGCCGATATCGTCGACGTATGTGTAGTTCTCCAGCGAGCGCAGGTCGTAGATGTGTTCCCGCGCTGACGTCACCACGCGCTCGGAGCCGTTGCGTACCAGGTAACTTAGCAGAAGCAGGCACTGGAATACAATATTTTTTAAATAGGCGAGTCTGTCACTTGAGGATAAGGTGCGAATTTCACCAAAACGGAGACTAGTTGAGATGTGTTTAAATAGCTAATCAGATTTCGTTATTTTCACATCATCTCTCCGTTCAGCTTCTGTGCGGAAATATTGTTCGTTATTCAAACACATCTCTTCACCTCTCCGGTTTGGTGGAAAACGGGCCTAAGCGATCACCACCGCCTACTGACATTCAACATCATCAAATCATTATTTCTACAGGAACAGCACGACTCGAGGTAAATGGAGGTACCTATTTGGCTTATAGCACTCCATGCGCTGACGTTCGCATATTTGTTCTTACGGCATTTACGGGAAGTGAAGTTTGGTCATTCTGCTCTGCCATTTAAAATCCACCCCACATTTGAGCGATGCTGCGGAGGGCGGCATAAATCGCATTTTGTGTGGTGTGCGCCGCGCCATTCAATGCGCTATGATCTTCATAGGAAGTAGCAAATATGACTCTTATACCTTTCCACGCATGGTGTATATTACCTTGTAGGTGCGGCGTCAGCGCGCGGTGAAGGTGACTAGGGCCAGCTCCTGGTCTGCTGGGCCGATGTGAGCCTTACGTCCTCGCAGCACGGCGCAAGTTACCTTGTAGGTGAAGGTTGCTAGGGCCAGCTCCTGGTCTGCTGGGCCGATGTGAGCCTTACGTCCTCGCAGCACGGCGCAAGTTACCTTGTAGGTGAAGGTGGCTAGAGCTAGCTCTCGCATCTGCTGGGCCGATGTGAGCCTTACGTCCTCGCAGCACGGCGCAAGTTACCTTGTAGGTGAAGGTGGCTAGAGCTAGCTCTTGCATCTGCTGGGCCGATGTGAGCCTTACGTCCTCGCAGCACGGCGCAAGTTACCTTGTAGGTGCGGCGCCAGTGCTCACGGTTGCTCGTACATGAAGGTGGCTATAGCTCCTGGTCTGCTGGGCCGATGTGAGCCTTACGTCCTCGCAGCACGGCGCGAGTTACCTTGTAGGTGAACGTGGCTAGGGCCAGCTCCTGGTCTGCTGGGCCGATGTGAGCCTTATGTCCTCGCAGCACGGCGCAAGTTACCTTGTAGGTGCGGCGCCAGTGCTCACGGTTGCTCGTACATGAAGGTGTCTATAGCTCCTGGTCTGCTGGGCCGATGTGAGCCTTACGTCCTCGCAGCACGGCGCGAGTTACCTTGTAGGTGAACGTGGCTAGGGCCAGCTCCTGGTCTGCTGGGCCGATGTGAGCCTTACGTCCTCGCAGCACGGCGCAAGTTACCTTGTAGGTGAAGGTGGCTAGGGCCAGCTCCTGGTCTGCTGGGCCGATGTGAGCCTTACGTCCTCGCAGCACGGCGCAAGTTACCTTGTAGGTGAACGTGGCTAGGGCCAGCTCCTGGTCTGCTGGGCCGATGTGAGCCTTACGTCCTCGCAGCACGGCGCAAGTTACCTTGTAGGTGAACGTGGCTAGGGCCAGCTCCTGGTCTGCTGGGCCGATGTGAGCCTTACGTCCTCGCAGCACGGCGCAAGTTACCTTGTAGGTGAACGTGGCTAGGGCCAGCTCCTGGTCTGCTGGGCCGATGTGAGCCTTACGTCCTCGCAGCACGGCGCAAGTTACCTTGTAGGTGAACGTGGCTAGGGCCAGCTCCTGGTCTGCTGGGCCGATGTGAGCCTTACGTCCTCGCAGCACGGCGCAAGTTACCTTGTAGGTGAAGGTGGCTAGGGCCAGCTCCTGGTCTGCTGGGCCGATGTGAGCCTTACGTCCTCGCAGCACGGCGCAAGTTACCTTGTAGGTGAAGGTGGCTAGGGCCAGCTCCTGGTCTGCTGGGCCGATGTGAGCCTTACGTCCTCGCAGCACGGCGCAAGTTACCTTGTAGGTGAACGTAGCTAGGGCCAGCTCCTGGTCTGCTGGGCCGATGTGAGGCTTACGTCCTCGCAGCACGGCGCAAGTTACCTTGTAGGTGAACGTGGCTAGGGCCAGCTCCTGGTCTGCTGGGCCGATGTGATCCTTACGTCCTCGCAGCACGGCGCAAGTTACCTTGTAGGTGAACGTGGCTAGGGCCAGCTCCTGGTCTGCTGGGCCGATGTGATCCTTACGTCCTCGCAGCACGGCGCAAGTTACCTTGTAGGTGAAGGTGGCTAGAGCTAGCTCTTGCATCTGCTGGGCCGATGTGAGCCTTACGTCCTCGCAGCACGGCGCAAGTTACCTTGTAGGTGCGGCGCCAGTGCTCACGGTTGCTCGTACATGAAGGTGGCTATAGCTCCTGGTCTGCTGGGCCGATGTGAGCCTTACGTCCTCGCAGCACGGCGCAAGTTACCTTGTAGGTGCGGCGCCAGTGCTCACGGTTGCTCGTACATGAAGGCGGCTATAGCTCCTGGTCTGCTGGGCCGATGTGAGCCTTACGTCCTCGCAGCACGGCGCAAGTTACCTTGTAGGTGAAGGTGGCTAGGGCCAGCTCCTGGTCTGCTGGGCCGATGTGAGCCTTACGTCCTCGCAGCACGGCGCAAGTTACCTTGTAGGTGCGGCGCCAGTGAGCGCGGTTGTCGTGCAGCATGCGGCGCCACAGCATCGACATGACCTCGGGGAAGTGCTCGTACGTGAACGTGGCTAGGGCCAGCTCTTGCATCTGCTGGCCTGTGGGACCCCAGGCCTCGTCGGACGTGGCCTCGCGGACCTTGCCTTCGACCTCTGTGTAGTTCATAACTACATTTGTGCTGTGGACAAATGAGATAATTAAGGCTCATATTACATCGTAAACGAACGGATGTCAATGACATAGCCAGACGGATTAGCAATGGACAGGGCACATAGTACGCAGAACTTTTAATCACCGGGGAACCAGACGCAGGCTAGCGTACCATCCCTACATTGCCGACATTCCACCAGCTCGCACTAAGCGTTTCGACGACTCGTTTATATAATAAAATNTCTGCTGGGCCGATGTGAGCCTTAGGTCCTCGCAGCACGGCGCAAGTTACCTTGTAGGAGCGGCGTCAGCGCGCGGTGAAGGTGGCTATAGCTCCTGGTCTGCTGGGCCGATGTGAGCCTTACGTCCTCGCAGCACGGCGCAAGTTACCTTGTAGGAGGGCGCCAGAGCGCGGTTGCGCGGTGAAGGTGGCTATAGCTCCTGGTCTGCCGTGCTGATGTGAGCCTTATGTCCTCGCAGCACGGCCTTTATCACCTTGTAGGTGAAGGTGGCTAGAGCTAGCTCTTGCATCTGCTGGGCCGATGTGAGCCTTATCTCCTCGCAGCACGGCACAAGTTACCTTGTAGGTGCGGCGCCAGTGAGCGCGGTTGTCGTGCAGCATGCGGCGCCACAGCATCGACATGACCTCGGGGAAGTGCTCGTACGTGAACGTGGCTAGGGCCAGCTCTTGCATCTGCTGGCCTGTGGGACCCCAGGCCTCGTCTGATGTGGCCTCGCGGACCTTGCCTTCGACCTCTGTGTAGTTCATAACTACATTTGTGCTGTGGACAAATGAGATAATCAAGGCTCATATTACTTTATTTTTACTTTTTTTATTAGGACAAACAAGACAAACACGCATACATGGAATTACTATAACTAAAAGTGCTTAGAACTAAGTGTTGTCACGAACCAAAGTAGATGACATAGCCCGACGGATTAGCAAGCTGAAATGGCAATGGGCAGGCACATAGTACGCAGAACTGACGGCCGATGGAGCAGCAAGGTTCTGGAGTGGAGGCTACGTACCGGAAAGCGTAGCGTAGGACATCCACCCACAAAGTGGACCGACGACCTCATAAAGGTAGCGGGAAGGCGTTGGGTGCTGCCTGCTACCAACCGCTCATTATGGAAATCATTGGGGCAGGCCTATGTTCAGCAGTGGACGTCTCATGGCTGAAATGATAATGATGATTGCATCGTTCGTTTCAGTCAAATGACGTATACTGAAGAACAAAGGCTTCCCTCAAGGATTTCCACAATGACCGGTCCTGCACTGCCTGCATCCAGAAGCTTCCCGCGACCTCGTATTACATAGCGATGCCCAGTTCCCGATCCAATTTCAATCAACCATCGATTAGGTAACGGTCTTTGTCCAACTGTGGACTTTTACCGACTGAGAAGATGTAGTGTGATTTAATCAGATTTACAAACAGTGATATTGTGACAGGTGTTATATTGTTGCGTTTATTACCACTACATGTGTAAGCAATCACAATAGAGAATCAATCGTCAATCGTTTGTCGTCAAGGCCAATTTTAAATTGCCGGTTTCAGAATGATACGACGAAATGCAGTAGTGGTCATTTATTAAACGTTAATAGCCTTCAGCAGTTACATAACATGTTTAAAGGGTCCATAAAACAAGTAAACGAATTTTTCCTGTTTAGTCTAAACTAGGTTAACTGGCAGATAATGCCCAATGGCATTAAGTTCGCCTTATGTACCAATTATATGGCATTAAAGAATAAATATATCAATTAGGTTACATTTGAAATATTTAATTGACCTGTTGAACCTGACAGGGATTAATTACCCAAACTAACATGTACCTACTTCGAATATCAGATTACCTATTTCGCAACAAACAAGTAATTAAAAGCGTATTTAATTACATGCAACATCGCTCGTAAAAGGCCGTCAAAAATTCGGCACAGTGTACAGTCAGCGTCATACATACTTGAGGCGTCTAGTTTCAAATCCCGCTAAAACGGTTTTGATAAGATTTCGAGAAATTGAAAAAAACCGCTTATCCATATAGCTTTGGCCTTAGGCAAAAAAATATACGATACGAATTATTATTGTCATCTGGCAATACTAACAGTAATTCCTATTCACCTTTAAATTAAATATAATTTGAATTATAATGAAAACTATTTTCATTTTGGCGTACTTTGTTACGAACATTCCGTTTTAATGGGATTTGAAACGGACATGTTGTATTTTAGCGGGATTTGATAAGAACAAATTGTAATGCATGAATGGCGTTCTACAATAAAGTCTAATATTAAATAACCCAAAAAATGATAAAATAAATAATTGTCCATATAATTTGTCCATTCTATAATATTCATAGCGATTGCACTTATTGGTTAGGTTATTAGATTAATCAAGTTTTATCGGGTTATTAAAAAAAATTAAACAGTGAGCGAAAAAAAAGTGACTTGAAAATGGAATACAAAATGATAAGGTATGGTAAATGATAAGTCTTTATCAATGAAGAAGCAGAAGTTCAATTTCATGTGACCTCCATCTAGGCTAGTTTCCATCGTCACTCAAAGTTTGGCTGCGGTCTCAAATTTGGGCTTAATTGAGGTATTTTTTGGGTGAGAGGCATAAGAACTAATGCCGTTTTATATCAAAAATTCATACTTAGAGGTAATCAACCAGGTACAAAGTATTTCCTTGTATGTTAGTCTTCCACTCTTTAGTAAGTCCCGAAATCCCCGCTTCGGCTCCCCTACTAACCATTCTAACCATTGTACACAGATAATATCTTGCATGCTGCTTTTCATGTTACTACGTCACTTTTTCAAAATCCGCGCGGAAAATCGCTCCGACCGGAAGAGTGCACTTTGAGCTTGAATATTTCAGTCATTTTTAAAGATATCAAAAAAATAAAAATGCAGTATTCATTCTAATTTTTTGTAGTTTTTTTTGGCATCTTCAACAAAAATTGTGCGCCATGTCCATTATAATTCACATTAGTAACTACAAAATTCATAATGAAATCTAATGCACGGCAAGCAATTAGCATTAATGGATTTGTCCTAGCGCCACGTCAGGGTAGATTAGATAAACAAATGTGCTTTTGTAGCAAACAGAGTATTAAAAATGAGTGATGTTATGTTCTGTATTGGGTTTTAGCTTATGGAAAGTTGTTTGTTTCAGAGTAAGTATGTAACTTGTCCATATTTCAAAAATTGTTAACTAAATACAGTGTGAGTCACGTTAAAGTGTACATATGAAAATAGATGAAACTAGACCTATTTTTATCGACAAAAAAGAGGTGGG